GGGGCGCCCGCCCTCCTGCCCTCCGCGCCACGCCGCGGGCGCGGGGCATCCCGGCCGGACCGGCGCGCTCCGCCTGCGCGCGCAGGGCGAACGGAGGGAGCCGCGGCGCGCACCTCCCGCGCCGCCATGCGCTCGGCGCCGCTGCTGCTGCTGCTGCTGCTGGGCTTGCTGTCCTGCGACGGTAAGGGCTTGCGGCGGACCGGGGGCCGGGAGGGGCGCGGCGCGGCGGCTGCGGCGAGCTCCTCGTGGGTGGCGCGGCGCGGCACCTGCTGAAATTCTCCGGCGCTGCAGACCTTCCCGAGCGCTTTGGCGATGGAGCGAAGTGGAGGGGGACGATGATGAGGATGATTTGCCGGGGGAGGCAGGCATGCTTTCTCCCCGCCTAGCAGATCCAGGGGAGCGCTGGACCGGGGGTCCCTTCCCCCTCCAGCCTGGGCTTGCGGAGCCAGGCAGGCAAGGAAGCGAGGGTGGGAAAGGGGATTAGGTCCGGATTCGACGCCTCCCCTGGCCGTAGAGCTGTCGCTGTGCCCCTCGCCCCACCTCGAGTGGAGATGGCTGCATAAATCTGTGGAGCGGGTGTCGTTCTGCTTTGAAGGGAGGGTCCAACGCACTTGCTCCAGGGCAAGTCCCTGCAGCATTTTTGTTAAGCGACTAAAGAAGGGTGCCTCTGAGCATGCACAATGAGCATCTCTATTCACCCTTGAAGCCCTCACTGCTGGCATTTGTGCATCTGAAGTTCGGGACAGATCATCCGTAAGAATCGCTCCACCGTAGGACTCACTTTCTTAAAAGTGACAATCAGCGAACTGTCGCAGAATGTCTGATTTCCTCATCGGGGATGCCTTAGCCCCTTTGGGGAGAGTCTTCAGTTTGTTCCTTTGCCCCCCTCCCCAAACTTTCCCCAGCGCTGCTGTATTAGGAAGCTAGAAAGAAGGAGAAAGGTGCAGAAGCAATTTGGCAAATGGATGCACATTGTTCTCCCTGGGAATTAAGATTATCTAAATGCAGGACGTAATTAAAACTGTGACAGTTTGCCAAACTTTAAAAGCGTGTGAAACTCGGTACCAGCCCTGTGTTTTCCCCTCGCTTGCAGCAGCTTCTGGTTTGGCACTGTGGATTGGAGGAACATAAGATGCTCCTGCCATAAGTTTGCTGGCCTTTTTCTTGCTCAGCGAGCCATGCTTCTGCAGTTTGCACTGGGCACTCGGTGGCCGTACTCTGGCTAGAACGTACATTCCCCCCTCCCCACACACACACACACACACACACACACACGCGCACTCTCATTCTCTTTGCATTTCCCCCGCGTGTAACTTGCATACACTTCCCATTGTTTTGGAAGCGAGAAGGTGATCCCGAAGCATTCTGCATTTAAGTGTGGAAGATGGCAAATAATGGTAGACTTCTGGGGTTTGAAGGAGCCCAGCCTCTGGAGGAATTTTTAGCTGCACGGCGTCGTCTGGCTGGGAAAACGTAAACTTCGTGTCTCGTCGATGCTTTGGATGTGGGAGACCTTGCATGTGAGGGTAACGGCACAAGCCGTGGCTGACTGGGGAGCCCATTTTTCTGCTAAGATCTGTTTCCCAGGCTGGATCGTGATCCACCGGTATCAGAATGAATGTTCCTCAAGCCAGAGACTGACGCACCGGTTTGCCAGCATTCGGAGATGCTGGAGCAGTGAAATAAATCTAAGATCGGGCAGTCAAGACAGAGGCTGTTAAATGGGCTGTGATTTGAGGCAGTTCTGGAAACACCACCTGCTGCAAATAACGCGTCTCAGCAGCATTTGTACCTCACTTCAGTGGGGCTCGGAGCATGTTTGAGACGGATCTTCGTGCATTCTTCTTTGTTATCTATTCATTCTGACTTATCTAGTCATAATTTAATTAATTTAATGTATGTATTAGTCAGCCACATATGAACAGAATGCATCTGTTCTATTTTTGACCTTTATAGCCTGTTTCGCCAGACTGATGTTTCCATCTGACTGCTTGATGTCTCTGTTCTTGAAGATAACGTGTTTGCACCCGCAGCCTGGATATCTTTGTTCGTAATGACTCGCTTTCGTGGAGTATGCAGCATTGTGATAAATGGTCTGGCCATTGTTGTTCCCTTAGAAGGAGTTAATGCAGGACAGCATAGGTCACAAACAAGAGGAACCCTTTGCGGCGGTTGCGTGAATAACGGAGTCGTCCTTTTGCAAGAAGTGTCTCTCACGGAGCTTCTGAATCTGTCCCCATAAGCCAGTCTTTTCTAGCTTGGTGTCCCAGGCCAATGCCTCTGGAGAGCATCAAGCCGGTGCTGGGGGGACTTCAGGTGAACAACTGCCATGATCTCCCCCTGCCACGGGACAGGTTCCTGCGTACAAGCCCTGAGCGTGGGCAGCGAGAAACAGCAGGAGGGACTGAAGTTCTCCAGGGTTCAGTCAACACCATAACCTCCAGTGGTCGAATGTGAGCTGACTATAGGTCGCTGCTGAACTAGGGCTGTTACTGCAGGCAGAAAAAATGTGCTGACTCTCACTCCTAATATATTATGTATATTACAACTAAAATTTGTTTTTAAATTCCTATTTCATTGATAATAACTTGATTGACCTATTTTTTCACTAGTATAATTTCATATATTAGTGAAAGCAGTGCCCCATGAAAAAACTCACAGTGGCAGAAAAGTGTCAGTGATGTTGGCTGTATTTGAACGCTTCACAAGAACAACAGATGAGAAATGTGATGTGTGTCGGTGTATTATAGAAGGCGATGATTGTGAAAGAGGGCAGTTGCAAAGAAGTAGTTGTTGTTCTGAAAAAATGCACCAGCAAGAGTGTCAAATTTAAAAAGATGCAGCTGTTTGTAGGTTGAGGGCTTTCGATCATTATAGGAAATAAATAATTAGTATATTTACTTCCTATAAATAAAGACGGGATTGAAGGTACCCTACACTGAGGAGTTGGAGCCAGGGTCTGAGTCGGAGGTTTTATATACCGACTCCACAGCTCTGTGCTGAACTGTGGGTTGTTGCTGAACTGTGAGTTCTTGTGTTGTCTGAAAGCTAGCAGGCTGTAGTTTGTTAACCACAGACAACCCATGAAGAGAACCCATGGTTTGTTGTTGGGTTGTGAACTGTGGCTTGTTTGCTGGCTATCTGAGCAAGGTTCGCACAGCACATTTCAGTAGCCCTTTTCAGCAAGACCCAACCCATGCTGTGTCCCCGCAACATTCAGACTTTCTCTTCCCAATGACAGGCATTTATCAAGGGTGCATTTGATGGGTGCTGACCCAAGAGACTAGGACGGGGCTGTGCGAAAGGGCCAGGGCAGCAAGGAAAACCCAGGGGAAGTGTAGCCCCCCAGCCCAGTGGAAGTCCAGCATTTGCTCTTTTCGTTCTCCCATACAAATTGCGCTTCACCCTAGAGGGGAAATGTTAGACACTGCATCTGCAGCTCTGCCCATGAGTTTTGCCCCGATTTCTCTGGCAGGATCCCACAACTGGGTGTTGAGCTTTTCCTTTCACTATTTTTTCCACCCCTCCATTCCCAGTAGGATGCCAGATGGTGTCCAGGGTGAGGTCCACGTATTCCAAAGAGGGGATTTTGACTTGGTGCAGCTTTTCCCCACCCCAGTAATGCCCTAAGAAACTTACCTGCCCTTGCAGAAATTCTGCAAAACTCCTGGAGGTATGGGATCTGTAATCCATTTTAAAGCCGCTCACCATTCCCCAAACATCTGGAATTCCAGGCCTCCCAGCCGAAGGAGATCACTTAGATCTGGTTCCGACTTGGCTCCCCTTGTTCTCAAAATGAATTTATCTTGCTACTTATGGCACCAAGAAGAGACTGATTGCCCATTCCATCTAGGAAATGTGTGTGGTTGTAACAGCAAGAACAACAGTGTGGTGCCGTGGTTAAGAGCGCAGGATTGGGACTCAGGAGATCTGAGTTCCAGTCCCCGCTCAGCCATGGAGCCAACTGGGTGACTTCGGGCCATCACAGACTCTCAGCCCAACCTACCTCGCAGGGTTGCTGTTGTGAGGATAAGATCGAGCGGGGGGACTTGTAAGCCTCCTGGAGTTCTTTGTAGGAAAGCAGGCAGGATAGAAATATAATAATGATGATACAAATAAAGAAATGGGTTGGAAACTCTGTGTCGGGCTGCAAGTTAGGCTCAGTAGCCCACGCACGAGCTGTGAGCATTTTGGCTTAGTTGCCTCTTGCAGGCATTGTCACTAACACGCGTGGCCAGCTTGAGCCAGGAAAGTAGTTCAGAAAATTCTGCGGAGGACTGGCCCTGGCCCTGCCCTGCGCTCAAGTTCTGCGTTGGGTCTGGCAACAAGAAAAGAACCCTTATTGGATTTAGCTCCCTCTAGTCCCTGTTTGAGTTCCTTTGTAGATACTGCTAAAGCCTTCTGGATTTTTTTTTTTTATTTATTGTGCTTACATGCTTACTGTTCCCTTATTTATGGCACACTCTTTCAAAGTTCTGATTTAAGTGCGTGTGCATACGCACACACACACGGACAAAACATGGTAGCAACAGAAGCCATCTGGAACCTGCCTCGTCTTCCTCCCCACTGAACCCACATCGAAGGCCGTTCTTCAACTAATGCGTTTTCCACTGGCTTCATGCTTCAGCAAGGAAGAGCGCAGACTGAAGGGTCCCAGTCTGCAGTGGGGCTCTAGTGGGGGGCTTTTATCCCTCCCCCTTCACTGATCCCGATCAGGGATAGGGGCGCCCCTATAGTATATATAACAAAGCCTGATCCATTTGCTTTAGTCGAGTGAATGATTCATTATTTGGCCAAACATAAATGGCAGATGAGGGACCCCATCCCACTTGGAGGGAGGGAAGGCCTAAAGGCCCTCCATCCCCCTCCTGCAGCTAGGGCCTGCATCTCAGTGGGAAGCTCCTGTGCCTACTCAGGAGTAAGAAAAGACATGGCCGCTAGGCGTGCCCCGTAAGTGTTTGTTTGTTTATTTATTTATTAAAACATTTTTATGCTGCCCCATTTGCCGAAGCCTCGAACTTCTCTTATAACCCAAGGTGTTTTCTAAAATAAGCGATTTAGCAGTATTTACTGCTTTCTTTTCTCCTAACGTGGTGGTTGCCTTGGGCCTTGGCTCCCGAACCTCCAAAGATCTCCCGCTCCCCTGAAGCAACTCCACCCTTGTGTTCAGGCTGTCTCCCA